TGGGCGCTTGGCCCACGAAGGTAACAGAAGATGTTAGTTCCCTCGTGGTGCTAGGATTTTTGAACCCATATTTTGTAGGGTCTGCCTGTGAGGCGATGATGTCAAGGCTTTTTCTTTTTCTTTAAATTAGCTGATCAGTGACTACTTATCTGAGTCCTAATTGTCATTGAATTTCAGCTGTACTTTTTTGCGAACTGCTGGTTGGGGACATGATAGAATCATTTGAGATATAAAAATCATTTCTCTGCCGCACTGAAGAATTTCATAGATACCATATGTGCCTCCCAGTAGAGTGTAGTTGTTTGTTTCCGTTTAGTTTGTACAGTGTGACTCAGAATGTCCTAGCAGATCAGTGTGGAAGGCCAGCCACCTGGTTGTCCAATATTGGGTTTTGCTCTCCAGCTGAACCCAGAGCTCTGTTTCCTGTCCAGGTTACTAACAGTATTTGTCCAAATAATTAATCCCTTTCCAACCCAGATCCACTGACACTTCCTTTCTGAGCAGATTATGCGTTTTGACATTTGAATCAAGCCATGCTACAAAATTACTATCTAATAGCTTCTGTGCTCGCACAATAAGAGTATTAGTCAGTGTTTCCTGTTTTCATTCATGCTGAAAGTTGACTGCTGTAACCCCCACATAAAAGAGATTGCCAAGACAAATAATTGCTGTGGCACGTGCAAACATTTTCTTGCAAGCCTTTTTAAATATGCAGCTTTCAGAAGTCTACAGTGCATGCTTTTCAGGAATTCTGAATCACAGAAAGGGTACTTGCTTCGTGACTTAAGAACGAGTCTGTATTAAAATCAATGTTAAATAATTATTCAGCCCATATCGCGTGTAAAATTAAGGACAACAAATACAATGAGGGAATAAATTGCTTATTGTGGATCACAAGGAAAACATACAGGTTTTTCTATGTTTGAAATTCTCAGGAAGTGCCACGGAAATGGAATCTGGCAGTAAAAGTGGCTTGTCCCCTTCTCATACCATGACCCACTGAGACACAGCACTCCATGGAAATCATCATTTGTTGATGGCACCTTATTAAGTGGCCCTAGCTTTTGTATTTACTGATGGTACATCAGCATACCTTTCCCACACTCTGTTTTCCCTTAGAAGCCCGATATTTGAAAATAAATAACATAAAAATGATAATATGAAGTATTTCAGGACAGTTTTCAAAGTATAAGAATTTGGTACTTTCTTCTGTTCACCCCACCCCACCCCCGCACCCCCACATCATTTCCCTTCATATTTCCGTGGCATTTGGAAGCCACAGTCTCTGGACCTTTATTACCATGTCCTGTTTCCTTCCCTGAGGTTCTCCTTGTTACTACTTTTTATTTTCCAATTAGTCTCTTAAAACATGAATTTAAGCTTAGCTAGACTATGTAAACCTTTCAGATGGTCATATCTTTATCAGATATGACAGTTACATCTTTTAGTAAAACCGTTTTGGCATTGCAGAAAAAAAGTATGATAGGGAGGTATAAGAACATTTTAAATTCTGTTTAATTCTGTTCTGTGTGTTTATCTACCTGTCTCCATTGAGTGAGAGCCTTTAGATCATCATTGGTTCCAAGTCCCACTCTGATAGTTTCTTCATATCTTTATTAATTCATTTATATGTGGCGGGTACTGTATTAGGTCTTGGAGATACACAGATGAATGAGATATGGTCCCTGCCCTCCAATGAGAGATGAAACCTAAGTTTAATTAAGGTGCTACATGCAAAGACAGATATGGGCACCACGAGGAAGCAAACCAGAGGGCTAGCAGAGGCAGCTAACTCTGCATGAGAGGACCAGGGCTGTGGCCAGGAAATGGGACATCTGACCTAAGGCCCTCCCTCGCCCATCCCCCACCTCCGTATTTCTCATCCTAGAGAAACCTACTTGTCCCTCAGAGCCTGGCGCTCTCTTGTCAGCTTTCTCCGAACCTCTCGGACAAAATCTGTTCTCTCCAATGCTCTGCTCTCCAGTTCTCTCAAATCCAGTAGCAGATGGTCTCTCTGCCCACATCCTTGGAATGCTTAAGGTTAGGGACCCTGAGACTGGACTTCTGCCACTGAGGAAAATGCCTGGACGTAGCAGGAATTTGACAAATGCTTAAGAATTGAATGTGATTTCTAGCAAATGAGGAGATCTGTTCTTTTGGTGACAATGATGCAGACCATTTTTCTGAGCTCCCATTATGCACCAAAAAGCAGTAACTTAGTACTTTTTACGTGTGTCATCCACTTAGTTCTTCCAACAAAGTCACGTGAGGACTTTTGAGACTGAAATAGAGTAAATAACTCACCAAGTTTGCACAGCGGGGAGGGATTCTGGAATTCTGGATCCCGTCTGTCTGCCTGTCTGTGGTCTCTCTTTGATTCTGACCAGCAGGACAGTCACCTGTAATCTGGCACTAATGGCCTTGCTGTCTTTTTCCCTAATGGAAGCCCAGTCTGTAATGACCTTTAACAAAGTCAACCAGATATTCCTCTTCTGCAGTCCACTACACCACCACCTTGCCAAAGTTAACATTGCTTTTACCAGGGCCACCGCTGGCACAGGGATCGTGACCATCAACCATCATCTCTGGTTTTGACCACTACTAATAAAATCTCTAGAATTGTCCCAAATACTGTATAGAAAGGAATGTCTTCTACTCCAGTGGTTCCCAACTCCTGGCCTGCAGACCGGTACCAGTCCGTGGCCTGTTAGGAACCGGGCCGCACAGCAGGAGGTGACCAGCAGGTGAGCCAGCAAAGCTTCATCTGTATTTGCAGCCGCTCCCCAGCGCTAGCATCACCGGTGGCCTCAGCTCCACTGCAGATCACCAGGCAGTAGATTCTCAGGAGCACCGGTCCCTGGTGCCAGAAAGGTTGAGGACCGCTTGTCTACTTCTTTAAATTGTTCTGCTACATGTCTTGTTCTTAGAAAATATAATAAAGGAAAAAATGACTTGTAGCTATACTCATTCCAAATTGAATATTTTTAAAGGGATATTTTTCAATTTGTCAAAAGCATATCAACGGTCATAAAATTCTTTAACATACTCTGACCTCATACTCTTACCCTTGGGAATTTATTCCAAGAATATAATTTAAAAGAGGTTAAAGCTCATACACACAGATATTTTGCAGCATTATTTGTATTGGAAACAAGCCAAAGGTCCAATAACAAGGGGAACAATTTATAAATCTTGGTACATCAACATAACGAAATTATAAGCTGCCACTTATAATCATAAATTTTGAAAGTTTGTAATACAGCAAGAAAATCTGTGATAATTTTAAAGTAACAGAGTGGAACTACAAAATTCTACCTATTGTATAAAAATTATATGGGCACATGAAGTACTAAAAGGAAACCATAAAGAATTAGATAAACCGTTTGGTGTGTTTAGAGTTTGAAATTATGTGTGACATTTTTGTCGTTTTTATTTCCTTAATTCTTTTTAAAATATGTGTATACAGGGAATGCTAGGGACAGAGATCTTCATTTGTTCTCATTTGAAATATTTTGTTTTTATCTCACTAAATTTTTTTACTGTAATTCCTGTCTCTGCCGTAAATTATGGTCTTGGTTGTACTGTCAGCATATAGAGTAGTATATTTCATAAACATTTCGTTTCTATTACATTAATAGTATTCCTTTCCTAGAGCAGTGTGCTTCTCAAATTTTAATGGGCATTCATCTCACCTGGAGATCTTATTAAAATGCTGATTTTGACCCACTAGGTCTGGGGTAAGGCCTGAGATTCTGCATTTCTAATAAACCTCCAGGTGGCGCTGGTGCTGCTGGTCCCAGAGCGCATGCTCCCGTGTGTGTTGACGACTGCTGCTGACCCGCATCGGTGGCGTTGTCTTGGAAAGCAGCATTAGACATTCTCTCTGCTTCCTCCACGCTTGTCACAGTAACAGATCTAGCAATTTGGGGATGCCGAAAGATGAGTGCTGTCGGGGAGGAAAAACTTCTCCGCTCCTCCGAATTCTTCCGGCTGATTTAAGAAGCAAATTGACATGTGACAGATTAACAGGAACAAATCAAGTTTAATTTCGTACATGCGCGGGCTCCATAAGAATATGGGGCTCACAGGCAGTCAGTCATTGGGGGTTTATATGCCATTCTGACCTAAGGAGAAGGGGCGGGAGTCTGAGACTTCAAAGGAGAGGAGAGCAGTTCACATGGGGATGGAAAAACAAATGTTTGCTGGGCCATGCAGAGACGGTGGGATGGAGAGGACTTTGGTACCCAAGCACTGTGGATTGTCCCCTACCAACCTAGCCCATATTCTTTGTAGATAGCTCTGGTGATAATGTTCTTCCTGGACAAGGCCCTTTTCTGTAAATTCTTTTAGTTAAGGGGGAAGTAAAAATCTCTTCCTGAGCCTTTTGGATCGCAGTCGTTTTAAGCTCAAAATAATCTACATGCCAGGATGGCACATTCTGGAGAGACTCGTTGTGAACCCCGATAGTGTCTCTGTGGTTATGGAATAAAGATGCTATCATATCAAGCCTGATGATCAACCTCCTAAAGCCACTCAACTAACTTGAATTTTGTCAGTCAGCAGAAATGACCAAGTGGCACTAAAATAAATGAGTCTACGAGTCTAGAATATAAGGAGTGAGAAAGGATTTTCTATGGTAATTATGCTAGCAGTGTTCTTTGATTCAATTTGGAACCTGATTAAAACGTTGAAAATCCCAGTTGAATAAAGACAAGCTATGTTCAGAGTTATACCAGGAAAAAAAAAATCGAGACTTTGGCCAAGGCACAGTGGTGTGAAGTAGAGAGCCATCTTTTTAGGGAACATAGAAGCAGAACATTTTCTGCAACTGGAGGGAAATCAGTTTACCTTTGCGTATGAGCAAGGTGCAGGGCTGTGTAGTAACCTGGACGTGACGGGGAATTTAAGCTCTCCTTTGAATCCGAACCGGACCGATGATTGCCAGACCCTACTATTGTTTTTAGAGGATAACAGCAACTTTCCAACTTGATTCTCCACAGTGACTGAAGCTGGCTTCGGTGCCGACATTGGCATGGAGAAATTCTTCAACATCAAGTGTCGAGCTTCTGGCTTGGTGCCCAACGTAGTCGTGTTGGTGGCAACAGTGCGAGCTCTGAAGATGCACGGAGGCGGGCCAAGTGTAAGTCTCGTACTCCCTAGTTAAAAAAAAATGTTTTTAATTAAGATAAAGCAGAACATAGCATTTGAAACATTGAAACCTGCTTAATAATTCCAGTCTTCTGTCATGTCTTTCTCTTTTTATATAAATCGCCATGATAGGACCCTTAGAGTTTAGTAATACTTACAAAGTTATTTCTGTGTAGCGTTTTGGAAAGGAGCATAACGTAACCACTTTTTAGTCCTAAGATTCATATCTGAAACTCATATTAACATTTTATAACCCCACGGTAATGGGAAGGTAGAGGCTCTGGTTCCTGAATAGAGCACATGCGGATTAGAGTGATCGCTCTTGTGAGTGAAATTATTCAGTGTTTCTACAGATAGCTTTTTGGTTCACTGATGCTACATCTCATCAGATTTCATCTAGAACTATGTTCCTTCTGTTTCTGTTTATTGTGACTTCATTCTATAATTGTTATGGCACTGGATTATGTCTAAGAGCTTTTCTGAGAAAACAAATTCTGTTTTAAGATTTTTAAAGACTTTCGATGTTAACTTATATTATTATATATAGAATTTATCATTTCCACAGTAAAGGTATATTGTTTTTCTTTTTTTATTTTTATATGTTCTCAAAGGAAGAATACGAACTAATATACTGATTGTTTTTGAAATAGTATAATTTGGAGTGGCTTTGTCATTTACACTATTGATATATGTTAGACAAACTGCCAGGTCTGATTGCTTAATTGGTATACTGTTTTCACAAAAGTTACATAATTAACGACTGTTACATAGCAAAACAAATAACAGGTTTGCCATCATGAAACACTTTAATGTGCATAGTTTAATCATCTTCGCAACTCTTTGTCCTAAGAGAGGCAGACATTATTTGATACCGTTTTACAGATGAGGAAGTTGAGGTTTGAGGGTTTAGGGGATGTATGGCATGTTACCAGATCAGCAGAGAGCCAGATATGAAGGCCGTCACCTAGAGACAATCCTCCTATTCTGTCCACTGTGCAGAGCTGCATGTTAATGTAGAATAAGCAGTTTCTGAACCCCAAATCCCCCCGTAATACCAGACACGTGAGCACTTCATTTTAGCCTGTAGTTTCACCATTATTTCAAATGGAAGATTGACATAACACATAAAGTATTAAATCCTAAAGAGTTCTGATTTTGCTCAAAACACCACTTGTTGCTACGTAAATCACTCCTGGACTTTAGACTTTGACTCTATATACCAGCTTCTATTTTCAAAAAACTATTTCTGCCAATATAAGATGCATTTGAAATTCTTTCTCTATTTTGCACCCTGAAAATGATAAAATCAAAGGACTTTAGTTCTGGAAAGGGTTAAGAGATTGTCTAGCCGGTTCAGTCTTTATAAAGATAAAGTTACTGAGATGGAGAAAGACTCGGTGGCTTGCTTATTATCGCATCTATTTAGGGACTAATCAAATGCAAATCCAGGGTCTCTTGGCTTCTAGTCTAATACTTTTTTCCACCCTGTAGTCTCTGTCTTATAACAGTTCTCTACATAAGTTATAATCCTGTTCAGTTCATCTTCATGTATGTGCTCTGTTTTACAATGGCTGCATTTTCTGCTCACTTCCATCTTGCACTCGAAGCCATGGTTCCATGCCAGCGATGACTGTAACAGGCTCAAGCTTAATAGGCCCAGATAAACGTGGAGGATAATACAATGGGAGGATCAGGAAGCCGGGAGAGGCTCCAGTAGCACCTTCTGCATCATATTTTATGAATGTCTATACGTATATCTCCCTTCTCGACTTCGAATTCCTTGAGATTAAGGACTGTGTCTTATTAATTTGTATATCCCTAGTGCCTGGCATAGTCTGTATCCAGGAAATGTTTTCCATAATTGAATAATAAATGAGCTTTCATCTTCTTAATCCTCTATTCCATATTATCCATCTCCGTGTCATTCCTTCTTTCTTGAATCAACTCATTTTTGATCCATTGTAATTTCTGCTTCCTTTGCTGTCATTACACAAATAACCGTGGCTGCGTCTTATGTTTATTTAGCTTGATTTTTTTTTTTTTCCGTAATGTTTGCAGTGGAAAATCCCGTGACCCTTGAACTTGCCCATTTTAGCCCCAATCATTTTAAATTTATATCCTGTCTTCCAAAGTACTGACCGTTCTTGGTGCAATATAAGAACTAATATTCTGTTATACTTTTTAATCCATGTTTTTATTTCACAATTAGTTCTGTAAACCCATTGTGTTAACAAGGGCTCTCTAGAACCAATAAGATGTGTATTTACATAAAAGTATTTATTGTAAGGAATTGGCTCGTATAGTTATGGAGGCTGACAAGTCTAAAATATGTAGAGTGAGCCAGCAGGCTAGAGACTCAGGAGAGCCAGATATTCCAGTCCTGATGTAAAGGCAATCCGCAGGAGAATTTTCTCTCGCAGAGAGTCTCTATGTTCTAGTCAGAAATTTCAACTGATTGGATGTGGCCCACCAAAAGGATGGGGGACAATCTGCTTTACTCAGAGTGCACCAATTTAAATGTTATTCTCGTTCAAAGAATGCCCTCACAGATACACCCCAAATAATGTTTGACCAAATATTTCGGCACCCTGTGCCCCAAACTGACACACAGAATTAACCATGATACCCATTATTACTGATTTTTAGTGTGTGGTGCAATGACTAGTTGAAATTGCATTTTTTCTATGTTAGTAACCAGTTAGCCTAACATTACTTATTTAAATAGTCCCTCCTTCTGATCTTCAATCAATCTCTTCATCGATTTAGGTCTTTTAATTGTATTTTAATGAAGACTTACAGTTTATTCCACAAAGGGCTTCTGCATTCTTTCATAGATTTTTCTTACGTACTTTTATATTTTTAAAAAGTTTGACAAGAATCTTATATATTGCTTTTATATACAACGACCTCTCTAAATTCTTTTTCTTAGTCGAGGTATAATGGACATATAACATTATATTGAAAAATTATCACAATAAGATCAGCAATACTTTGTTGGATTTTTAATCTAGCCTTTTAGTTGTTCCAACTGAAAAGTTCACTCAGTGTTTTAGTCTACACTACTGCTAGAAAAATCCATCTGAAAATACCTGGTTTTCACACGCTATCAAAAACAATGTCACAGAGGTAACTTCTTTTTAAAGGATTTCTAATATTCTAATATTCCCTCTTCCACTGAGAGGAGATTAAGCCACCACATCCTCAGTGAATGAAAATGTTTTCTAGTGTTTCTCACCAAAACGAGTAGCAGGCCATCGACAAAAACAGTGTGGGATTGTAGAAAGGTACTAAATTGGGGTTTCAGAACCCTATTGCATTCAAGTCCACGTTCAGCCTCTCGCCTGCTCTGTGACCTTGGAAAGACACTTGCCTTCTTTCAACTTTGGGTTCCTCATCTTTAAACTGCCCTGCCAGCCTGATACAGCCAAAAAAGGGGGAAAGTAATGGCATTACTTTAAAATGATTTAGAATTTATTTAGAAATGATGATGCACTCTGTATAAATTGGGTATTAATTATATTATAAATTCCGTTTTATGCTAGGATAATGGGCAACAGTACAACAGTTCTCAATATTGGCTCAAATTAGAATTGCCTGGAGAAGTATTTAAACATTATTGACCCGGGGTCTCGCTCCCAGAAATCCTGCTTTAATTGGTCTGGGTGGAGCCCAGATATCAGTGTTTTTGAAAAGCTTCCCACAAGACCATGTTCAGCCAGAGCTGCCATTTACTTGTTTAAAAGTACAAAATGTGCTTTCAAGTGTACCGTCTCCCAAAGTGAGTATGATTTGTTTTTCTTCCAAATCTTGATCGATTAGAGTAAGCATTTTAACGAAGTTATTCTTAATTTTGTCTCTTATCTCAGGTAACTGCTGGCGTCCCTCTTAAGAAAGAATATACTGAGGAGGTAAGAGTGACTGTTTTCAAGGCTTAAGTGAAGAATCATTCAGACCCAGTTAACCACCGGCATATAGCTGAAATTCAGTGGATGAGTCCACCCCCAGGGACCTCTTAGAATGGTGCTTTTCTAATAATCCTAGAGGAAATGGTCAGGGGCCGGGATACAGTTCATTCAGTTAAATTAACTCTTCAATCTTGAGAAATACCAGCCGTGGTCTTCACCTACTGTTTCCTACCCACCCCCCAATCCCGCCCCCAGCTCACAGTGTCCAGCACCAAAACAAACATAAAGCTTATACCCGTGTATTCTTTAGAGGTGGAAAACATGACTTTTGGAGGATATACAGTTAGCCTATGACTTGCATGAGCTACTGACTCCCTTCTGTAAATATTTAGATATACTGACAACAGTACCTCTTAACTCCTACAGGTGGCACCAGGGGCTCAAGCAGGGAGTCGCTGGGCAGTGCCCCCGCCGCCCCCGCCCGCCCTCCTGGGCCTTGTGCCTTCTTGTCTACCAGCCTGCAGGGCATGGGCACATTACTAATGTCCTAGCCACTAGCCAGCTGCAGAAATCACTGCCTGGCTCAAGACCCAAATATGCCATTGGATGCCAAACTTGCCACAGTGGCCCTGCCAGTTTAGTTTGGCAGGTGTGGCGGGAAGCGGTACAGGAGGGTCTGGTTTTCTTACAGAACATCCAGCTGGTGGCGGACGGCTGCTGTAACCTCCAGAAGCAGATTCAGATCGCTCAGCTCTTTGGGGTCCCCGTCGTCGTGGCTCTGAATGTCTTCAAGTAAGTCAGCCTCCTACTTTCAATGCGGCCATCGCGCTGGGCCACCCCATAAACCAGATTTGTGTCTTGGGGATGTTTGGTCTTTTCTCTGCTTCATCTAAAAGTATATAGACATAGTTTGCTCTTTCTGTCGGTTTGGTTTGGTTTGGTTTGGTTTGGTTTGGTTTGGGTTGGTTTGGGTTGGTTTGATTTGATTTGGATTGATTTCATTTCAACAGAAGCATTCTCAAATGTTACTAGGGAATGAAATTGTATAGAGTGACTTACTATCTCTTTGGCTTTTTTCTTCTTTTTTTTTTTTTTTTTAATTTTACCCACCATTTCTGTCTGAAAGACTGTGGATGATCAAAGGGATATGTTATGGAATTTTCTCAAGAAAACTCTTAACAACTTGAAATATTCGAGTCATGTTGGAGAGGATTTTTTCCCCCATGCTTTTATTTAAGTCTGATTTATTTAAACACGATGTAACCACTTTTGATGTTTAAAATATATTCAGTGTTAGGGAGCAAAGTTCTGTATAAACAGTTAGTCTTTCTTTAAAAACATCACTAAATGAATACAGATGCAAAACCACAAACGTTTTCATCACTAGGACCGACACCCGCGCCGAGATTGACTTAGTGTGTGAGCTTGCGAAGCGGGCTGGCGCCTTCGATGCTGTCCCCTGCCATCACTGGTCGATTGGTGGGAAAGGGTCAGTGGACCTGGCTTGGGCTGTGAGAGAAGCTGCAAGTAAGAGAAGTCGTTTTCAGTTCCTGTATGATGTTCAGGTAAGGTCCCACAGCAGTGATAAGGGTGGCTAACATTTCCTGCACCTGAACTGTGAGCCTGGCCAGTGCTGAAAGCTTTTGCATAGCTTTCCCCATTTAATCCTCAACGACAACCCACAAGCAGATAAGGAGGCGGAAGGAAAGAGAGGCTAAGCCATCTGACAAGGCCATGTTACCAAGGACCGCCCAGCTCCTTGCCCCAAAGCCGGTGCTTTTGAAGGCTACACTCTATTTCCAAATAGCAAGTGTCAGTAAGGAGGGGCCTTGGAGAATCACGGTCAACACAGTTTGCACAGAAACAAGACTTTTGAGCAACTTCGTAAGGCTTATGAAGTCATGGGCCATATTTTCTTTGTCCATTTCTGCTGTAGCTCTTTTCCCTCAATTTGGGAAAAGCTCATTTCCTGAGCTACGTCTAGTATATTTTTTTAAATGTTTTAATTGTAAAATACCCGTAACAAAATTTACCATCTTTACCATTTTTAGGTGTACAGTTCCGCAGTATTAACTACTTTCACGTTGTTGTCCAACCCCCATCCCTCTCTGTGGCTCTTTTTATCTTGTAAAACCAGAACCCTGTCCCCACTAAACAGTACGTCCCCATTCCCCATTCCCCATTCCTGTCTGCCCCTGGCGGCCACCACGCCGCTTCCATGGCCACGAGGGTGACTGCGTATCTCATGAGTAAAACCATGCGGCGTTCGTCTTTTTGCGACTGGCTTATTCACTGTCTGTTTTGGGCTACTGTAGCAGAATACCACAGACTGGGCGCTTATAAACGGGAATTTATTTCTCACAGTTTTGGAGGCTGGAAAGTCTGAGATCGAGGTGCTGGCACGTTCAATGTCCGGCGAGGGTGTTCTCACGGCATCCTCACTTGGTGGCCGTGGTGAGGGGTCTCTGTAGCGGCTCTTTCATAAGGACATTAACTCCATTCGTGACGGCTCTGCCTTCATGGCCTAATCACCCCCAGAGTCCCCACCCCTAATTCTACTACCTTGGGGATTAAACTTAAACATGAATTTCAGGGGATCTGATTCAGTCTAAAGCATTCACTTAACATAATGTCGTCAAGATTCATTCATGTTATTGCATATGTCAGAATTTTCTTTCTTTTTAAAGCCGAATAATGTTCCATTTATGCGTATACCACATTTTGTTTATCCATTCATCCGTGGCTGTCCACCTAGGTTGCTTTTACTCTCAGCTATTGTAAATGATGCTGCTATGAACATGTGTATAAAAATACTTCTTCCTTACTCTGCTTTCAATTCTTTGGGGTATATACCCAGACATAGAATTGCTAGATCGTCTGGTATATTTTTAAATGTATCTGGATAATGAGCCTTCACTAAGGAAACCCGAACCTCCTAGGACCTCGTGTTTGTCCTCAGTTTACCCCCGTAAACATCTCCGTTCTGAATTCTGTGGCTCCAGCTCTGTTGGATTTGTCCCCAAAGGTCAGCCTCGAGCTGATTGCTTCTTCTCTATCCCTCTGTCCCTCGCAAATTCTTTTGGTCTCTCAGACGTCACATCATTCCTCTTTCCTTTTCATATGGCAGAGACCAAAAGCGTGAGTAGAGAGAGGGCGAAACCACGTACCCTGTAAGTCTGGAGTCACATCAACGAGATCATGGTGTTGACTCTATTGTGAAGGCCCCTCTGGAGGAGAGCTTTTTGAGGGCCAGGCGTAATGGGCACTTTGCACATGTTAACTTCTTTAATCCTAACATCCCTCTTAGGGAGGAATTGCTGCTCTCCCGCTCCCCATTTTATAGATAAGGAAACTAAAACAGAAAGAGATCAAGTAACCTGCTCAGCGTCCCATAGCCAGGAAGAGGCGGAGTTGGGAGGGTATCTAAAAAGATGGAGGCCATCATCTTGCTCTGCCCTTCAGAATTCAGTACTGTGTTCAAAAGTGGGGGCGGGGGGGAGGACACTACTTAAAGGGACAGTAACTGCGTGACCCACCTGAAGAGGAAACGTGAGTGATGGGCACGGAATCTATGCCAAATGAGAGAGATTGTAGGCACTCAGTAAATATTCATGCAAAGAAAGATTTCAGGAATGAATTGGGGCGATTAGCCTAGAACGGAGTTTGTTGTGTTGTAAAGCCATTTTATGAACAAAGGACTAGAATATGCTGGGTTACAGAAGTGGTAGAGATCAATAGGGGGGAGACTCGGGTTCGACATGAAGAAATATACCCTAATTAGAAGGTGCACGTTCTTCACCCTGGGGATGTTAAGCGTGAGATAGACGCAGCCCTGCAGTGGGCACGTCAGGCGTGTTGAAGCCGGTCAGTTGGTGGCTGACCGCAGTGATCTCATATTCCCCCCTGCACCTTGCTGCCCAGGGGAACCTTGCCGGGGTGTCCACAGCGTCCAGCACAGTCCTCAGCCCTTTACACAAACCCCCGTTAGGGAACTCACTCTCCCTGGCCTGCTCCCAGTGCCTCAGACCATTGCCACATGATCGTGAAGCACCCCACTGAGTGGCAGAAGCAGTGGTTTTTAATAACTGATTTCATAAAGTGTGTCTTTTTCAAGAGAACCATCCCAGATGAAAAGGTCAGTAAATAGAAGAAATGTTTCTGAGTTATGCTGTCTCATACATGCGTACTCAACCTAAGATGAACCCTTTTCGTTTCCACCGATACCTTAATTTTTTTTTCCTGAATTTTCATTCTTCATGGAGATAATGCTGTTAAAAATGTCTGCTTCCCTGTGGAAAGTGGGAAAATTTATAATACTGTGGTCTGAAGTCCTATAGTTGATAGGTGGCCTCGAGGCCAGAATTCTTGCCTCCATTGCCAACTTACTCTGCTCCGTTTTCTTGTGATACAGAAATTAGATTCGAGCTGCATAATTGCTTATTAGATAATCAGCTTCTTGCTGCACGACAGTTTGTGCAGAGCTGTTGCTGCTCTGGCCACTTCATACCGCCTCCTTTGTAGCCGTGACCTTCACACTGGCAAGACGATGGTAGATGACATGAGCCCATTACAGTCTCCTCTCGTAACCCTGTAGAAATCGGAATTCGTTGGTGCAGTCAGTAACAGAGCTCACACTTTCTTTTTTCCTCATTTCCTGCATAGTCGGTGCTGATGGACTGAGTAACGGTTTTCTCGAAACCTTTTCTGTTCCCTTTCTTTTTCCCCACTGACTGACCTTTGGCGGTCGGCAGCTTGGTAGTTGTGGGATTGCTCTACAGGAAGAAAGAAGGGTTGAAATGTTTTGGGATGAATCACGCTGCTGCCTTTACTCCTCAGTGCAAACTGGGCTTCTGTGTGCCTTTTGCGACCTCCCCCGACTCTAGGCCACCAAGAATGCATTCAGTACTGGATTGATGGCATCTAATTTCCTGCTCCACCCCCACCCCAGTCTTGTGTTACAGAAGAAAGACACCTGAGATCGATCACTTAGAGGAAGTTGAAATAGAGTGGGAGCACGAGGCATGATTGCTTTCAGGGTGGGGGAAAGAAATCATCTCAAAACCCCCATGGAAAGAGGAACAGCTGGAGAGAAATAGAAATAACTGACCTCAGAGACACGGAGCGCAGACAGCAGCTGGTCGGTCGCAAGGCTTGATGGTGCAGACCAGCCCGCAGTCAGAGCAGGAAACCAGCTTCACTGCTGACTTGGGGTCTATGCTAAACTTTATAGAAAATTGAGTTAAGCAGCCACTGTTCT